GATGAGTCGGGCCCCCCGGCAAGCATCGCCGGAGGGCAGGCTCCCCCAGCTACTGAAAACGCTCTTCGTCCACGTACTGGATGACAGAGTTCCACAACTTCACCCTAAACCCTAAACCCTAAACCCGAAACCTTGGGCACCCGGTAAGACACCAGCAAGTCCAGAGGGTTAAGCTAGGATGCCCAGTAGTACCCTTATTCCCTTTTTTTGGGGGTTTAGGTTCCCTTATAAACCCCTTTAAGCAAAAAAGGGCACCCTTTTTAAGCCTTGGTTACTGGGCAGCCTAGTAAGGGCCAAACTTCGGTTTGGTACTTGGTCAAAATACAGCCCATTCTTTCCGTGTGAACGCATCGGAAAGGAGATGAAATTTCCCAAGGACCTACTTTAGATCAACCCCCATTCCATTCGGGTTCAGGGTTTTTTCAAGGTTTAGTCACCTAGATAAACCTGGTGAGCCGAGACCCCACAACCGGAAACCTAAACAGATGGGGATTTCCGATCAAGGGAGTACCCTTCTGGGAGTTCCTACAAGGGTATATAGGTCGAAGGGGTTTGGGGGGGTCCCCGGAGCAGTTCTGTAGGGTTCAGGGGTTAGGGTCCGAGACTGGCCGTGATCTCCGCAGACACTCGAACTAGGAATACTGGGGGGGGGCGGGGGGGGCGGGGGGGGGTTTAGGGTTTAGGGTTTAAGGTTTAGGGTTTAGGGGGAGGAGGGAGGTCAATTTCAGTTGGGTTTGGGGTTAGGATTCAGGCTTTGGGGTTTAGGCCCTGCAGACACCTCGCAATAGGAATGCGGGGCGGGGGGAGGGGGGGGGGGGTTAGGGCTCAGGATTTCGGGTTTAGGGTTTGGGGAGTAGACTTTAAGTTCAGTTTCTGCAGGGCATCCCACACCCCAGAATATTCCAAAATTAGTTTCATGGGCCCTTAAACGGCTCTGAAGTATGGGCCTTTGGGTCTTATAGGGTATCTAGGGGTAACCCTAAGCCCTAAGCCCTAAACCCTAAACCCTAAACCCTAAACCCTAAACCCTAAACCCTACTGTTTCAGTGATCACCCGAAGCTCCGAACCCTCGACTTGCTCTTTAAGCCCATGCCCCACGGCATTTCGGTTCAGCGGCCCAAGCCCAAACCGGTACAATTAGGGCTTGAATGAGGATTAGGGTTTAGGGTTTAGGGTTTAGGATTTAGGATTTAGGCCCTGATTGAGGATTAGGGTTTCGGGTCTACTTGGAGGTTCATGGTACTTATTAACCAATTATAACTGTACTTATAACTGTACTTATGACCATATTAAGGCACTTAGAGGGGCTCATAAGTGGGTTATACGTACAGTTATAATTCGTTAATAAGTACCATGAACCTCCAAGTAGGTGCTGGAGTAAGGTTCGAGTTTAGGGTTTGAGGTTTAGGGTGCAAGGCTGGGGGTTGGAGCTTGAGGATTTCCGCTATGCTAAGCCCGGCAGAACACACCTGAGGGCCAATTTAGAAGTTCCTGCCCGTAAACCACCACCCCTAAGCCCTCACACTAACGCGAATTCCTAACCCTAAACCCAAAATCCCCAAGCCCTAAACCCTAAACCCCAAACCCTAAACCCTAAACCCTTAGCCCCCCAAACCCGCAGCCCCTAAACCCAACATTCCCTAAAACCCTGACCCTAAATCCCAAAATACCTAAACCCTAAACCTCTTCCTGCTAGGCTTGTGCCTATTTGGAGCGACATGGGCTTGTTCACCGCGACCTCCGTACCTGCAATGTCCAGCCTGGGAGCCTACTTAAATTTGGGGTTTAAGGGTTCAGGGTTTAGGGTCTAGGGTTTAGGGTTTAGGGTTTAGGGTTAGAAAAACTTCGCCGAAGCCTCCCTAGGAGGTACAAGTCCCTCTGTCGCAGGGTCTTTGCTTCAGACTTTTGGTCTGGGGTTTGGGGTTTAGGCTTTCGGGTTTGGGGCCTGTTAGCATTGGTTTGGGCTCATTTAGGGTTTCAAGGCTTCGGGGGTTCGGGCTTCTTTGGGGTTCAGGATTCAGGAGGTTCTGAGCTGAGAGGGCTTCTAATGGCTTGATTGAGGGCTTTGGGCCCGCGTTTAGGACGTAGCTTCTGGTTCTATGTAGGGTTTTCCAGGTTTTTCGGCTTTACGGTTCATGGCGGCCAGTGGGCTGGAGTGCATGAGTTCGGATGCTACCAGGGTTACTACTGAAGCTTTCGCCACGCTGCTGGGGTGCCTCGTTCAGCCCTACAGCCCTTTCGAGAATACCATTGGGCTGGTTCGGTATAGAATGAAAGGTTCTGTGGGCGAGATACTATAACCCTGGGGTTCGGGGAATGTGGGGTTTCGCCACAGTGGTGCAGCTGCGCATGACGTGCATCCTGCGGGCAGGTGGCACATCCTTGGGGACCAAATGTACCCCGAAATTGAGGCCCCTGACTACTACAAACCCTAAACGGTTTAGGGTTTAGGGTTTAGGGTTTAGGGTTTAGGGTTTAGGGTTTAGGGTTTAGGGTTTAGGGTTTAGGGTTTAGGGTTTAGGGTTTAGGGTAACATTGAGCTTTTTAGGTGTGTGTGTGTGGGTTCATTTTTGTTAAACGGTTCTAAGGTTTCTTAGGGTGCAAGGAAGAGCTGAGTAAGTTTCGTGTAGGACATGAACAAGAGTGAAAGGTTCACGGCCAGAACAGACTCCCTCAGACCCACTGGCACTTTACCCTAAACCCTAAACCCTGAACCCTAAACCTTCATGTAACCCTTGAGACCTAGGCCCTAGTCCGTTGCATACTGCGCGCACCATTGCGCGCACCAGCGTTGGAGGTTGTGCCGGCGGCGCTCCCGCTGCCAAGCGTGGGCCCAGTGGGTCCTCAAGGGTGCTCTTATAAGGGAGGGGGGGGGGGGGGGGGGGGGGGGGGGGGGGGGGGGGGGGTGGCCGTTTAGGGTTTGGGGTATGGAACCCAAGGTTAGGTTCCCTAATGCTCACCGATACCGGCTCCTTAAGGGAGGGGGGTTAAACCTCAAAGCAACTAGACCCTAGACCCTAATCCTCAATCCCTAAACCCTACACCCTCAAGGGGTTCAAGGGGCGTAATGTAACCCAAGGTTCCCGAATCCCGAATAATCCCCACTACTCCCTAAGGCTCCCTAAGCTTCCTCATAAGGTTCCCTGGTATCCTATAGTTTGTTGTCGTGGAGGGGTCGGGGCTTAAGGGTTATAGGATCTTTCAAGACCGCAGGGCATTCTCTTGTAGGGCTGTTCGGGCTTGTAGGGCTTGCCGGTTCCTTAGTCGCTGAATGAGTACTCTACACCTTTTTGGGATGCGATAGTCCCCTATAGACTGAAAGTTTTTTTTGGGGGGTTCTGAAGTCGGCAACTTATTAGGTTCTCTAGGATTAGGGTTTATTAGCGTTTGGGGTTCCGGGTATGGGCGTGTCCCGCACATAAGTTCGACCCACCCTGAACCCTGAACCATGAATCCTTATGATAGAAATAAGCCCTGCATCAAATCTTGCGCCGCTCCCCGTGTAGGGTTTAAGGTTTAGGGGTTTAACGCTACCCCAGTCATGTTTCATCCCAGCTAGGCTAGTGACTTCGGGTTCAGGGGTTCAGGTGGTGTACCTGCACTCCGAAAGACCTCGTCGAGAACGGCCTCAGCTTTCCGTATTCGGGGGGGGGGGGGGGGGGGGTTGCTATTGTTCCTGCAAAGGTAATTACCTCGTTTCCACATAGACCTCACCCTAAGCCCCAACCCTTTATAAACCCTAAGCCCTGAAGTGTATGCAGCCTACACTCAACGCAAACCCCAACCCCGTATAAACCCTAAGCCTTGAAGTGTATACAGCTTAAACTCGACCTAAACCCCCAACCCCTTCTAAACCCTAAGCCCGATAAGGTGTATACTGCCCTAAGGGTCCATGTACCTAAATATGGACTACTTGGAACTTAAAGTACTTCCTCTACAGGACTTTCAGGGCCCAAGTGTATAATATGATTAGGTACATGGGCCCTTTTCGGGTATAAGTAACCCTAAACCCTAAACCCTAAACCCTAAACCCTAAACCCTAAACCCTAAACCCTAAACTTTAATCCCTTAGGGCAGCTTACAGCTCGAGGTGAAAGTCTTGGACCTGGGCGTGATGGTGGCGGCCAGATGCTCGGGATTTCGTGCTTCTGGCGAGGGGCCTCACCGAAGCGCGTGTGGTTTCCCTGTCTCCAGCAGGTCTTGCGTGCGACTATACTTCCTATTCGAGTAACATGAGCCCTAAACCCTTTTCGGGTCGGATCGCAAGGCTTTTGGGCTCTATGCCAGCCCTAAACAACCCTTGCACCCTCCCGTATATATCTCTAAGGGTCCATGTACCTCATTGTAAGATATACTTTGGCCCCAAAGTCCCTATCTATATAGGAAATACTTTAAGGCCCAAGTATTCCTATTTAAGTACATGGACCCTTAGGGTAACATCCTTGAGCACCCATAGAATCCCACAAAACAAACCCTGCAAACCCACTGGAAAGCCCTAAACAACCCGCAAACCTTTAACCCCTAACACTTAAACCTAAAACTCTTTTAAGCACCCTTAACCCTGAGCATCCATGTACCTAAATGCGGAATACCTGCGCCTTAAAGTACTTCCAATATAGGGACTTTGGGGCCCAAGCATACAATCATGAGATACATGAACCCTTATACTTATACAGGGTATAAGCAACCCTAAACCCTAAACCTAAACCCAAAACCCCAAACCCTAAACCCTAAACCTTAAACCCTAAACAACCCCAAGGTACATGCACCCTTAGGGTTAGGGTTTCAAAACCCTTTTGGTTACAAGCTCCGCCTTACAGAGGCCGAGCCCAGCCTACGGAGGAGCGCCTCGCCGGCCGTCCGGGTCTTCCGGAACCGGACCCTTGAGGCGCGCAGGGGGGATTTAGGGTTTAGGGTTTAGGGTTTAGGGTTTGGGGTTTAGGGTTTAGGTTTTAGGGTTTGGGGTTTGGGGTTTAGGGTTTAGGGTTTGAGGTTTTGG